TCAATTATCGCCTCGAACAACCCAATTTCGATTCATTGAACAGTGAATACAAAAAAATAACAATAATAACAGTCAAGCTGTGTTTGCTAATCCCACCTAACGAGAGGATCGGAGGGTAGGAAATCCCACTTTGATACTAGCCAAAAAAAAGAGGATTAAGAATTTGGCTACCTGAATTTGAAAACTGTCAAAAAAAAAAAACCATCGCACACCCGATTCGAGATCATTGTGTTTAGTTTTTCGGGGGATCTCGAACTTTTGTGAATGAAATGCGTAGAGCATTATAATGGAACATATGTAACTGCCAGTTTGGAAAGCATTGTGCAATCCATATGATAAATGTCCGTTTTGCGAGTGTGAGGAATAATTCCGGCTAATGGCCATTGTTATATGCAAGCTACTGTTCGTACGTTCATTTGTCTGTTTGAAATGCGGATTTAGAATGTGCCATGAGTCCCTCCTTCCGCTTCCTGTTCCATATACAGTCCTCACTCTCTTTCTGCAGCCCTTGATTTATTATTAAATCCGTACATGGTTATTAGTTTTTCTCTTCTTTCTTGCAGAGGTAATAATTTTCCGAATTCATATACATATACTTATATATATATATTTTTGTGTGCACCCCTGTGGTCCTTCTGGAATAGGATATAAAAAGGAACCCCCGGTTTCTCAACGCCATTTCGGCGCTAAATTTGATTTATATACATTTGATTTTATATATTTGTTGTTGCCCCCGGACTACCCTTAACATCCTTCCTATCCCTCCAGATTTTCCCCTTTTCGGGTGTTTTGCGCTAATGAATTCAAATGTGTGCGTAATTGAGTTATTAAAATTTCAGTGAACAGGCCATGGGACTCTTTTGGACTGGCATTCGAAAAATATGTGTGTAGGTACATGCATTTAAGGAATTTCAATTTGGAAATACTTTAGAGGCGTTCATGTGAGGATTTTCGCTAGATTTATAATAGCAAAAAAAATATTGTATTTTAATTTATGACCGAATGCAATGCAATTTATTTCTTTGGTCATGATTTCGGGGTAGGGAATATAAAAAAAGGTAGAAGTGAGTGAGTCATAACCAGCGGAAAAGAAGAGAAATATTTTAATTAAGAAATATGTGATTCACGGTGATGATATCTGTATGGATTTATATTAATATAATTTCGCGGAAGGTTAAGTTGAGAAAAGGAATTTCAATGATTATTCAAGCTGATTGTTATAGTTTTAAACTACAGCTTTCTGTTATTTTTATGATTGCGTTTATAAGAAATTTTATGTTATATAAAGCTGCTTGTAAAATTATCAAAGCAATAAATCATTTACCAAAACTATTCTCTTAACAATTTTATTTGGACTACTCTTAGATGTTTCTCATAAATTATCGTTCTTCATGTTCAATTTCGTTCAAATTAAGTTATGTAGAATTGCATTTAAATTGCAATTTGATCGTATCCAAACCAAAAGCTCACCAATTGTCGCAACAATCATTTACTTTTTTAACCCGCTCTGTCCCATTGAATATTTTTCAGCCAATAATTCCCCTTAAATACGGTCGCTTAAATTATATATCAGTAAGCTCATCGACTCATAAAAAAAAATTAACCAATGCTGAACAAAAACCAAACCGAACTAGCCGAAAGTGAAAAATGTTTCGTTAGCCCCACAAATATGTGAAAATGACTTTACATTTTTTTTTCTGCCCACATTTTCGCATTTGAGTGTATTTGGGGTAAATTGTTCGAGTTTTTCCTTTATGGCTCCTGTTGTTGTGCATCAATTGGCGCCACAAATTTTGTACTGTTTTTTTCCCTTTCGTGTGTTTTTCCCTTTATATTTTTGGCAATTTTTTATGGGCCATTTAAAGAGCGCCATGGGAATTCTCGGGGGGTTTTGAGATCCAGTCGGATTATTCACTGTGTGAACGTGGCCTGGCAAACAAATATTAACCTCTTTTTATGCACACATGCACATGCAATATTTACCCCCACTCCTCGAGATCTGCAGATATGTTTGGGAATTGAACGGGGTTAAATCTATATAATAATTTGGCGCGCTCTTGATTTTCACGGCACTTCTAATTCTCAAGTGCAAAATAAAAAAAAGGGGTTGCCGCCGACGTAAAGTAAAACCCATAATTTGGCTTAATAGTTTTTGCAATTACCCGAAAGGGTTCCGGTAAATAACCCCCTAAGGGTTGCCGGAAGTGCCGCTGGAGAGGCGTAGAAGTGGAGTGGATAAACAGGATAAGGACGTGGAGGAAGTGGCAGTGGAAGCAGTGGAAACAGCCTGTTTATGCGTGAAATTCGCCAGGCGTCAGGACATTTGTCAAACAGAGCCCAAAAAGTGGGGGTTACTCGCAAGGATCCGTCGAGCCCCTGTCAATTATGAATTTATTATGGCATGCGATTGCTTCTGTCTGCATTGTCTGGGTAATTACCATCAGGAGTGCAATGTTTTCATTTAACAGAATGGGAAAGTCAGCTAGCAGCTGGCAAAATAAATTGATTGAAAGGTTCACGAACTGTAATTGTGGAAAATGATCAGGTATGGATAAAAAAACAAACAAATGCTTATTGTCAAGTATTAATTCTAAGGGTTAATATGAAACTAAATTACGAAGCTATTTATTCATATGTTCTTATCTTGAAAGAAGTGTATCATTTAATCAAAAGAAAGAAGGGCTTAAAACTAACTTCCCATATCGACAGTTTCTCTTTTCCAAGCTTTCATTGAGTGTCCTATTCCTGTCCAACGTTTTCATATTGAGCTCACAATTTTTTTTTTTATTTTTTTTATACTACTCTTTAGTCGCACAATTTGCGAAGTTTGCTTACTTCCTTTTTTTCAAAACTAGAGCATTTTTCTAGCCGCTCTAGCCACACTTTCATTTTGCGCAAAAACCAAAAAATGGTACTCAAATTTAGTAAACGTTTATCTTGCTCAATGATTTTCCTTTCCACATGGAACGCACTCGAAGCCAGGGGCTTTTCCCCGCCCTTTGCTCTGGTTTATTGTGAACTTTTTGAAGGGCCTCTCCAGTGCCTCTTTTCCACTCTTCTCTGTACCCCGTTCTTCCCCCACCCGCACTTCAATTTATGTAGATTTAAAGTGGCAAATTGTATTTGCATTTTAACTTTTTTGTATGAAAGAGCAAAGACCACAAGAGGCCCTTTGTAAGTGTGTGCGTTTAAGTCACGACGGCTTCAGAGGGTTAAGATGGAGGGGGCGGGGCACTTACTGATTGCTTATTAATTGAACAATTTCATTATGGTCTGCCTCTCTCCAGCATTTATTGTTTGAAGTGGGTTTTTTATTATTTAAAATGCAATTGCTGACTCACGCGACTTCTTGGACCTTTATTCATAAAAGAGATTTTTATCGGAGTTTGATATTACCTGAAAATAAAAAAAGTAAAAGAGAAATTAGTTTTATATATAATATTACGACACTGCAAAATGGAATTCAAGTATGATATGAAGCTGGCATAAAACGAGACTAGACTTTGCTTTAAGATGTAAGGATAAATTCCGAAAAACACACAAAGCCGCATTTGTGCACAAACACACCAATGGGTCATACATCTCGGCTTATTACACTAATTACTGTGGGGCCAGAACATTTTTGCCTGTCTCCTACCAACGAAAACTTTTGCGGCTTAAGGGAGATATAGAGATACAGCTACCGTAACTCCTCGTTTTTTCGGGTTTTTTCGGGTTAATGGCTTTCAGGGGAATCGCGTGCGGTAATACAATTTCATAGAGTTACAGAAAATGAAACAGAAACAGAGAAAAAGATCTCATGGCTAGTGCATAAATAGTGCAAAAAATATTCTATGCTTTTAATTTTGTTTTATAGCAAAACAAACTGAATAAAATAAAGGACTGTGCGACAGTTTTGGGCTTTTTGTTGTACGTATGCAAAGCTAACGCCATTGCGGAATTTTTATTGCCCTTCCGTCGCCATAGCAAGCACACCTTACATACACAAAGCTTTAAAGTGCCATCATGAAATATTTCATATTCAAAAAAATAAAAAACCAAAGAGGCAAAAATGTATCTGAAATACAAGGAGGAGGAATGCCAACAATGCCGTGGCCCCAATCGAGACCCACAGTCAACTACTCATGTCTGCCTCTCTTGCCGGCGTTTTTGGGTTGATTTTCATTACAAATTACGTTTATTTACAACTGAAGCCAAAAACTGGGCAAACCAGGACCGCAAATATTTTCACAAAATATGAGAGCATTTTTCCTCGTATTTATTTTATGCATTGCCACTACCAAATTAATGAAGTCGTCGGTCGGTGCAATTTTTACACCAGTCCACAGGACTTGACTACATTTATCTCTCTCTCTCTAAAATATCAGTTCACCCGTGAGTCCTTCAAAATGTTGCCGGTGGAGCATTGAAATGTATTCGGATAGTATGATTGCCAACTAAAGCGAAATGAATTTTAAATAGCTGTTGAACGGCAGACGACAGGACGTGCAGCGGGGGGTTAAGTGGGCGCAGAGGGGTTAAAGCGAGAAATGATATTTTGTGACCCGCGGTGCTTTTGTTTTTAATTGAAGTGTTGAGCACGAACAATTGAGTGACAAATTTTAACAGGTTCTCAACCGCATAAAGTGATTTCGGCAATTGGTTTTGGTTTTTTTATACCTATTAATTGATTTTAAGCATGGTATTGTTTGTGTAGGCTAATGTGGGACTTTATAATCAAAAATATATATTTTTTAATTTTTTCAATTTAAGATTACACATTTTTGCATGAACAAAACATTTTTCATTCTAAACGGTCATTATTTGATAATCTTATGTACCACGCCAGCATCGATAACTAAGACATTCATTATCATCAGCTTACTCTAAGCTTATGTTTTTCTAACCCACATCAATGCTCTTTTAAACCACCCTCACCTAAACCACCATTTTAAAAATCCACAAAGTAAAGCTGTATTTTTGTTTGGTCCTGATTTACGTTTTTTTTTTTGGGAAAATGGTGCGGTGCAACCAATAAATTTCCATTTTGTGTTTGTGTGTCGGGGCGCGTCGAATAAATCAAAAATGGTCGCCGCCCCGCCGTGTGCGAGAAATGTGTGACCTATGACCTCAATGCAAATGGAACGCAAAAATATGCCAAGCATTTAGCCGAAACATGCTGTACCATGAACAATTTTAGTGTTATGGATTTTTTATCACCCTTTTTTAGAGCAACTATCTCAACCCCTATGATGGAAAATTAAATTTCCACTGTTGAACGTTTTCCTCCATTTCCATTTCCCTTTTTTTTTTATTTATTTGATAAGGTGCGGACATGGAAACTTTCTAACTCGGGGTTGATGTTCACCTCAAGCTGATGTTTACTGTGCTGCCATTTTTGCCATCCGCACGATGTCGCTGTGGGTTTATTAAATTTCGCCAGCTCTAATGAAATTTTCGCTTACCAAATTGCGTTGAGGGCCAGAGAAACCTGCGATGGCCATTGGGTTTCCTGCGGCTTTTCGGGGTGAACAATCTGCCGCTGTCTACCCCACATCTTCATCTAAATCGTCAACATCATCATTGCAGATAGCTAAAATAACCGGGGTAATATCTCAATACCATTGGCTGCCATTTGGCAAAAAGTTTCCCAACATTTTAGGGGTGAAGTTTTGCACCCCAACAAATGTTTCTATGCAAAATGTTGCAGAGGAAGAAATGTTGCAGCAACTTATACAGCAAGGAATTAATTTGTAAAACTGCTGCTCCTATTTAAATATGAATAAAGTACAAAAAAATCTTTACTTCTGCGATATAACATTTTATAGAACATATATTGCTGAATGAATTTTATGTGAGTAAAATTATATCTGTTTGTTCATGGAATTATGTTCTTAAATTTCTTTCCATATAACGATAGAAAATCTAGGTCTTAAAAATAACTTGAGGAGAAAATTATTAAAATTTCTGCACTACTGGCACATAAATCTGTTATATTTTTGGACAAGACAACTTTAGCAATTATTCAAGTAAAATGGGTGCTCAAAACCTGTGCAAAATCAGGTGATGAAAGTGTCCTTAAGTGGTGGTAGAATTTTCAGGGGGATACTACTAAAAAGAGAGGTCATAAAGGGGTTGCCACAGGTGTTGCAAAACTTTTCTAGTTGGCCTCTTACCTAATTTAATTAGAGAAGCAAAACTTTAAAATTTTCTGTCACCCTAGAATTGGCCGCACATGTGTGTATGCACATTGCATATTCAGCATTCCTCCTTTACCACGCCCCTTTTGCCCCTGTTTTTGTCACTCAACTAAAATTAGTTTACATTTTGTTGCTGTCTTGGCATTTTCATGGAGAAATATTTTTACAAGTTTGTTCGTCTAAGTGAATTAAGGTGGCAGCAACTTAAGCTAAATTGTCTTTCCAAAAGTCTTAAGGCACAGAATGAGCTGAGTTTTCATATAGTTTTACTATTTATTTATTGTGAAACTGCACAGCAAATTAGTTAAAATTACAAAGAAGATTCAGAAAACTTAAACTTGTTTATGTTGCTAACATAAATAAATGTTTGTTTTGTTTTGTTTAAATAGCTTTTACAATTGAATAAAGGAGTCCAGCTTTATGCAAATGTTGTTAATTACTAATAGTAGTCCACAAAATTGTCCATGTCATTAACAATCATTCTTGAAAATGACTTCGCTCCTTAATGAGTTATCTAATGGGTAATCAAAATGCCAACAAACACGCACCGACAGTTATTAAAATTTAATTTTCAATTGTCTTCGCTTAATGAAAACTCATTTGTAAGAACAACACGTGCATATCTTTCTTAACAGAAAAGCCGACCAAACCCATTTTCCTTGAGGCCATCATATGCCCCCAACCACATTTAAAGTTTTGGCAATTTATGCTTTGATTTAATTAAATCGCAAATTTAAATTCACATGGTACATTTGGCGAATGTTGATTACATTTTTGGGGGCTGTCTATAAGTCATAAAGGGTTGCGCATTGTAGTTGTGTGTATGTGTATGCAAATTTTATGGCCAACATGTGTGACGAAAGTTTTGTGTGTAGGCATTTTGCATTTGAATTAGGCCCATAAACCAGTAAACTAATTTCATTTACTTTTGCCACAATTTGCTTTATAATTGTCATTTTATGTTATTGTCAGAAAACTTTGTGGTCATATTTCTCAAAATTTGTTTCGACTGTTTTGCGGAACGCAAATACTGAAATGATTTTGAGTTTAATAATTTAAAGTATTTAAAGGAAACTCCAATGACATTAGCCCATAAAAATGGCCATGACTTTGCACTAATATAAATGCGAATTAGCCAATTGGAAGCTTAATGAGATTTCAATGTAGGTTCAATATTGATAAAGGGTTTCTTGTAATTGGTTGAACTTAATTAATGGCTTCATTTTCGTCAGTTTTAAATTTATTTAAATTAAATTGATAAGCCTTGAATAAAAAAACATTTACAAATTTCCCAAATTGAATTGTAAATTTGTTAAATCAAAAACCAATTATGAAATGCTTTTCCATATCAAAAGATATGTACAAAATGTAAGTGGACAAAGAAAAGACCTATATTCGCCTTCGCTTAATCCTCTCATGTAATTTTCACAAGCAGCACACACTTAACGTTACTCATTTATTTTTCGGTGCTCAATGGCGAATGCATTTAATAAAATATTTTCGCTGCTGTCCAAGGCCTTGTAGTCCTCATGTCATTCAGCGCTTTTCCCCCGGTTGTGGAAATCCCTTTTTGCTGCCGCCTTTTGTTGTGCGAAAATTTATTGATATGAGTGCGTTGTGTGTGCAATTCATTTTGGCAGTGAAAATGTTAAGCGTCGTTGAATGCAATTGAAATGAGGAGTCAGAGGGTCCAGAATCCCCTGCATTTTCTACTTGTTTGCATCACGAGTGGGTCCTTCCTTGTGTATGGCCGAAGTTAACATTATTTTTGCCCAGTAATTCTTAAATAACAAGGCCGTCGGACAACTTTAAGCCGCTTTACAAGTTGGCTGTGCGTGCGCGCGTATTCGAAATAAAAAGAGTAAAACGAAAGAGTTGAATCGCATCGAGCTGGAATTTGCATATTTGCAAAGGAGCATTGAACTCGTGTCAGAGTGGTGGTGGGTTCGCTTTTTTAGTTTCTGTAGTTTCTGTACTTTCAGTAGTTTCTCCGGGTAGTGCCCGCCATGTAATCGTCATCGCTGTCGTTTTGGGTGGAGCGAACACGTCTCGAATGACGCCTCCACCCGTTTTGTTTGCCCAACTGATGGACAAGTGTCATGAACATCGAGAATGAGGGATTGGCCACCTTCCACACCGCCCTACACATGAATTACTTCTTCTACATTTTCTTTTTAGGTGCGTCGTCGTGGCTCTAAATTTGATTAATTCAAGAGGCATTCGTCTGGGTTGTTTGTGCTTGTAACGCGAGACTTTAGAAAAAGTTTACAAAAATTACTACCAATGGAGGACGTTTAATTTAAAATTCTTCCACTACAATTGTTGACTTTATTTTGAGCATTTTTGTGTTGTTTTAGGTTAATTTTTAAATTAGATAACTTATTATTTATAATATTATATAAGGCTTTATTCTGGTATTTTTTTTATGCTACAATCTTTAAGAATTATTTGCATTCATGAAACCAGCATATTTTTTTTTATGGAATGAACAGTAGTTTTTTTTTGCATCAATACGCAATTCCTTTTTTACAGTACGCACATAATGGAAAATTCTTGAAATGTTTTGAACTCCAGAGGCGCCAAATTTGTGCGCTTAGAGAGGGAAATTCGGTGAAAAATTCTCCCGGCTAATGAAAACCTCAAGCTGTGCGCTCGGACCGTAGAAAATCAGACATCGGCGCAACGGGAGATGATTTGATTTTAAATCAATATTGACAGATGACACTGGCAACGGCGAAAGCAGCAGTAGCAGCAGCAGCAGCGGCATTTGAGGCAGAAAATGGTTAGCAAAACTAAGTAGACAAGAGGGGGGCAGCGGAGGAAAATTGGGAGGAAAAATCCCAAAGGGAGGGTGTGTATAAGTGTGTGCCACGTTGCAACATGTTATATTGCTGCAGTTCAAGTGGAAGCAGCGTCAGGAAAAATTCAGCTGCTGGCTCAGCTGGAGACCGACGATTAGTGAGAGGCGGCAGTGGCGAATATAAACTGTCAACACGACTTTTTAAAAGAGCCATCCATATAGTTGGTAGTTGGACCCGAGATGGGGGGAATTAAAGTAGTTATGTGCAAGATATGCAATATATATTTCTGAGGTGGCATCGATAATGCGCCAGAAGGTAATTGTCTGTGTGCGGCCTGAAATCTGATCAGTTTTTTAAATACTTTGTAGGATAAAATAGATAATCTTTAACTCATTGACAATTCTTTAGTTGGAAATATTTGTTTTAATTAAATTTACATTTGTGTCATTTATGGCAGTTAATAAATTGCTTATGGAAATAATATCTTGATTTTATGAAGACAATGAATTGATTAGATTTTCAGACCAATGTAATAAGATTTGATTTTCTCAAATCGATTCCTTTTCAATAGCAACAGATTAAACCTTTGATTGATAATCTGTACGACTATAATTGCAAATTACAGATGTCTGCCTGTTGTCAATAATTTCATTAGGACATTAATTTTAGATGCCCAGCAGTACTCCAACCATCCGTTTTCTTGCCCTCAAGCCCATCAAAATGTTCCTATGCTACCCCCTGGTGGGTTAACTAACCGTAATTTCTACTCATTTTCCAAGCAGAACCGACAACAATCGGCTAAACCGCAATGCCCGCATGGCAACGTATCCCATAACCATAAACCTTCTGCCCGGCTACCTAGAAAGGACACACATGGCAATAGAAGTCAAATGCAATGGCTCTACCGAAAGGAAATGTCACCAACAATTGTTAGTTAATAAATGTCAAAAGTGACAGTCTCTCGACTGTCTTAATTGAAAGACTCCACTGCAATTATCAAGATCGAGCTGAAACTAACTCTCTCTTATTATCCCTTGCTGTCAACAGTAGTTTGTTGTTGATGGGACCGTAGATAGGGGCTGATTAGCAGCTGGTTGAGTTTACTCCATTATATGGGTTCTTCTGGCCAACTAAATAAAACTATGTCAAGGTTCACAGACAGAAAAGAGAGAAATTCCGCAATAAGTGTGAGAATTGCATAATGTTGCGGGAAACTGAACGAGTTTTCCCACTTAAACTTTGCTGAAAACTGTTGCATAATTTCAATTGCCACCTGCCGAGCTTCAAACCGAAAATGGTCGTCTCTATTTTCCCCCCTACTGTTTCGCTTTTCTTTTATCGTGAGAGAGTAACTCAGCAATTTGGAAAATTGTATCAGCCAGATAAGATGAAGATGAAGACAAAAATAAAGAGACTTTTGCTATTTGCACTTTTTCTTTCTCTTACTATCTGGTTTTTCACTTTGTGTTGGTCTCTTTTGGGAAAAGCCTTCTTCATGGCCAGACTTTTGTAATGAAGCGTTGAAGTTGCTGTTGACTATGGTGTTGCTGTTGCTGGTGATGTTGTTGCAAGTAGCAAGTTGCTGCCATTGCTGTTGCTAGTTGCTTCCGTGCGGCTTGACTTGACGGCAGATTGCCCCTTGGGTTCGCTGTCAGTACGGAAAGCCATCGCATAATCACAATAGACTGACGCCCCCGCCGGCAATCTTTTTAAGTTTCGGTAAAAACTGACATTTGTCATCGCCAAATAGTTTTCCCCTGCACCACACGAACCCAAAACAATCACGCTGAAAACTTTGCTTTTCTCACATTACACAAAGAGTTTCGGAAAATATATTGAGTCAGCCATTTGAAGAGGCTGCGCTTCATTTTCAGCTGTGAGTTCATATATTTCATGTTTCACGGTTTTTCTTTCAGCCCTTTTATTAATCAATATATGTTTTTTGCATGCAGTTTTCCCATTCATGTGGCAAAGTGTTGTAAAGTTGTTGCATCGTTGAATGCTTTCAATTTAATTAAGGTTTTTTTAACAAGCTTGTGACGTTTTTACATTTTATTTCATTTTAAATTCTTTTTAAGATGCACTAGTGTTGTGATGGTGAATGGGCTTGAGGGTGTTTTAAATGGGAATTAAGTTATTTGGAATTTAATAAAATTGTTCAAATTAAACTGTCGTGTTAGCGAAGCCTCAAACTGAATAAAAAGTACCCGATTTTGTGTTTAAAATAATAGTTTTGGTTAACTCTCTAAAGTATTATTGAAATTAGGGTTGTTAATAATATTATTGTATAGCATTCCAATCAAAAATAAAGTTTACCGATCACCTTTTAACCTTCAATGATGTAATAGCATAGTAATGGGCTTATCTTCGGTCATTAAATCCACTTAAAGCATGGTTTATTATATTAGTCGATGATATGGTCTAAAGGCCTATAAAAGGCAAATTTTTGGCTTGAATTTTGCTCTTCAAAGAGAACCAACTTCAAGATGTGGATCTTGCCGTATCAGCAGCTCCTCCTCAGCTTTTGCCTCCTCAGCACATTGGTGTCCAGTGAATCCTTTATCATCAGAGATAAAATTCATAGAGTTCGCGAAAGGCTCAGACAGCTTATTACACCCCCAGAAGTTGAATCTAGCTTGATTACAGTAGAGCACCCTCATGTGATTCAAATAGATCCGCATCAGGTATATCACGAAAAGAAGCCTCAAGTGATTGAAATACACCATCAACCGATCCAAGGACAGAGGCCTTTGATAAACCATATTGGAATTCATCCATTTCCGATAATTAAGAATCCCGGTATCACATACGAACATCGAGAAAATTCCATTATTGTTCCAGGAATCGGATACCATCAATCTGAGAACTCATTAAATACTAACCAACAAATGTCGTCGGGAAATTCGATAGGACATGGCTTAATAATGCCAGTGCTCCAACAGTTGCAACAACAGTTGCAGTCACAAAATCAACAGGCCAACTCAGGACAAGCACAAACACAATCACAATTACAAGCTCAGCAATTGTTCAACGGTGCTAATAATATTAAGTCTCAAAAACAGCTTCAAAATAATTTTAACATTCGATTGGATATACCAAGATTAAGTGAAGGCCGAAAACCGATTCAGCTTAGCCCAGTGATTACAAATCCCAATGTATTCATTATTCGGGATAAAGGATTTGAAATTTCGCCAGACTTGCAGTTGCGGTTGGATAACCTGAAAAAGACATTATCACCATCACAGTCACTGTCACAGTCCCAGTCACAATCGCAGTCACAGTCCCAGTCACAATTGCAGTCGCAGCAACAGCAACAACAACAGCAAGAACAAAAGTTACGGGAGCAGTTGGAGTTGAATAACAGAATGTCACAGTCACAGTCACAGTCACAGTCACAGTCACAGTCACAGTTACAGTTACAGTCACAGTTGAAGTCGCAGTCAGAGTTGCAGTCACAATCGCAGTCACAGTCGCAGCAACAGCAACAGCAACAGCAACAGCAAAAGTCAAATTTACAGGGCTTACAGAATCCCTTGTCTATCAGACCACTGCAAATATCGAATGGGTTCCCCCTGCCTCTTTTTGAAAAAGCATTACGTTTAAGTAATGATATTAAATTGCGAGAGTTGAGGAGTGAGCTTCAAAAATTGCAAAACTTGTTGCAGCTACACAGCCAAGGTCAACGCCACCTAGAACTATTGCAGCTTCAGAAGCAATTGCAGGTCCGATTGCAGGAGCAATTACTGAAACAGGCACGGGATGAAATACTAATAAAGTCACCAAACAGGATGCAAAGTCTGCTCTGGAGAGAGTATGAAAAGTTGCAATATGAACAGACAGAAAGGGAAAGAAGGCGAAGGAATATAGAGGCTCAAAAGCAGCGAGCACTTGAGGAACAAGCTAAACAAATACTTATGCAACAATTAAAGAACCAACAACAAATTGACAAAATACAGGAAGAAATACTAAAACAGCAACGGATAGAGAAACAACATATAGAGATGCAATTATTGAAAGATGCACATTTAAAAGAACATCAGTTGATAATCCAACGGCAACTTCTGGAAAAACAGCGTGAGATGATGAAGCGTCAATTGAAAGAACTTCAAGTCAGGAATGTTCAAAATCAATTGGAAGCGCACCAACTAATATCGGTGAACCGAGAGCAAACGAAGGGACAGACTCAGCAGCTTGGTGCCTTAAAATCACAGTCACAGTTACAGTTACAGTCACAGTCACAGTCACAGTCACAGTCTCAACAGCTTGGTGGCTTAAACTCACAGTCACAGTCACAATCACAAAATAATATTCAAGATTCTGGGTCACAGCAACAGTCACAGCACCAGGTTCAAAATAATCTAGTTGGTGGTGCCTTACAAAGTCAGTCACAAAAACAGTCACAAGCACAAATGCAATCACATGGTCAGTCACAAAACCAAGCAGAAATGCAAGCTCAAAATCAAATACTAGCTGGCGCTCAAAATTCTGGATCATTAGTTAGCTCCCAGTTGCTGAATGATCAGAGTCTTTTGAATTCTGCATCAGGACTGTCGGACTCTTCCCAGTCCTCCCACTCGTCGTCATCGTCATCATCATCGTCATCGTCATCGTCATCATCATCATCGTCTTCGTCGTCGTCGTTATCGTCGTCGTCGTCTAATGCCCAATTACAGAACGGTGGATCCGCTTTACTAAACGTAGTGGTCGGTTCAAAACGTTAAGAGCTTTGGCGCTAAAGAGAAGCTACAATAATCTAATCACATATTTAAAATGAATTCAAGCTTTTATTTGCTTTGTCGATTCTATATTACTAACAGCTAATAAACATGTGTTTTTAATTTTCTTACACCATGGTTTTCTTAAGTAACCTTAAGTAAAAGTTTACCTAGAAGTTTAAATTGTCATATCGTTGGGGGCCATTTATTTACACCTAAGTGCATATCTGACAGGTCATAAAGAAGCGGAAAGGTTGAACATTTAATTTTTGTTTCTATTGCTCCTTATCCAAAAAATTTGACAATGTTACAAACCTAAATTACAAGGTTGTCTTTTCAATAATTTGATTAACTCGCAGTTTGATCTTAACTCTCACTACCGGTATCTACAGTAACAAATAACAATTTCATCCCTAGACAACCCTCAACGACAGGCAGCTGACGAGTCTTGTTAACTTGCAAATGCCCATCAGATGTTGATTTAGCCACGGTTTTCTCACTCAAGCGTTGATAATGCTGCGAATAAGCACATATACATATAGCTAATTAAACAAGGAAAGAGAAATGACGATATCCTGCTGGAAAGGGAGATAAAGGTATCATTCTGTCCGGAGTGCAGGCAGAAATTAACATATGTCTAAGCTGGGACCCGCGAGCAGTGCAAAAACTGGTTTCCCACATTCGCTTCGCTTAACTTTTGTGAAATGTCTGTGCAAAGTATTTAGTGCAGCAATTGAGACGGAAATAAAAAATAACAAAAGAAAAACAGAAGACAGAAGACAGCTTGTGCCTTAATTTTCCGCCAGAGTGGGCAGATATAAATTTCCCTACCCGAACTTTACAGTTCGAATTGTTCTGGGTCCAGGGCCAATTAAAATTGGGTGCAGAAAGTAATGCGTATTTGATATTGTCTCTTTTAAGCAGTTGCTTTGTATTTTGGGGATTGCGAGTCAATTAAAATTGGTTGACAGTTTTCCCCAGTTGCCGGCGGGGGAAAATCTCTAGAGCTTTGTGAAAAAAGGGTTCTCGAAATTAAACTTTTCGGTTGCCCGCCCCTCTTTTTTTCTCCATAGTGATTTTTTTTTATTTTGTTATTTGGCAAATAAATAAAATGTTGCGAAAGTTTTGCTATTTGAGTTGTGTTGTCATGGGAGATGGCAAAAGGGCAAGCGGCAGGGGAAACTGACCGTGGCAAAAGTTTTTCCAGCATTAAGCCGGGCATAATTAAAATTTTCGTGCTGTTAGCCCCCGGGCAGATTATAGCCAAGTTTTTCTTGGGCCAGAACTTCCTATTGGCTTTGTTTGCCCCGTTGATTGATGGTAAATAAGCTGAGGCTTCCTCAACCCTTTTGGGAAATTATTTTGAAATTCTATTGAAGCACAGCAGCTTTAAAGATTACATTGTTGCTAAGTAGAATGGAATCTAACTGGCGACTAATCGAATTTACGAGTCGCCCTTTTCTGACTTTTATTAGCCCATTGCGCATTTTTTTCCCGGATTTTCCTTGTGTTTCGCCTTTTTAGCTTCGTTTTTACGGCAAATTTCATTTCAATAAAAGTCGCATTAATTTCATTTATTTGCTGTAATTTTTTTCCCATCGCCTTCACCATTTTTATGCCCTCTGTTTCTTGCTGCCCTTTTTGCGCACCTGTCCCACCAGTTCCAGCTGTCCATCAAATGGCCTGCCACGCCCACTTCGCCCCTCTTTGTCACGCTGCCGCCTCGTCCATTTCAATTAACTCTCAAGGATTATTTTATTATGTCAATCAATTTCCGTAACTAAAAAGTCACCAATAAACGAGTGACTGAGCCACCGATTCCCTCGGCCAGAGTTCATTCTCGATTAGTGTTTTATTTCCACTACTGCTCTTTATTATTTTTTTCCGGTGCACTCTGCTTCTCTTCGGTTTTTTACTAGACACCTTTTAATTATGGGATCCTGCAGTTGAAGCGCGATTTAATTAAATCTTCAATTTAATCGATGCAACTTTTTAGGACGATGTTTAGCAATGGAAAAAGAGCAGTGAAAGAAGGTCCTTGATTATTCGCTTCGTTACTTTTATGACTTTTACAGTGAATATATCAATAATTAGTAAATTGATAGGGGAGTTAAAGATAGGATATATTAAAGGTTCGAGTAAAGGATTTAAATAGTAGATTTTTTAAACAAAAGGAAATATGTGCACTCAGTTTCCATTATCTTTGTACTTCTCAGTTTATTAATATTTAAGCCCAACCCATTTTTGTTTTAGCTTCTGTTTCAAAAGCCAGCTCCAGCAAGTTGTTTTAAAAATGCACATAACATTTCTAATTCTTGTAAGCCAGAGAAAGTAATTGCCAGTTTAGCCTTCCTCTTTCAACTTTTCACGCAATAGTAAATCAAAGCATTTTCTACACTAGAAAACAAAATCAAATCTGTAGTCATGAATCATTGAACATACTAAAAGGGATGAGGGGATAGCACTCAACCAATTATAAATTTGTGGGCGGGTCTGTAGGCGTATTTTCCTGTCAATTTGATTGTGCACATGGTTGTGTGTTGTAACTTGATCTATAGCTATGGGCATATGTTGAACACACTGGGTAGACAACAACAAAGAATTGTTACGACCAACAATAAAATGACTCAAGAGCCAATTAAAGATAACAAGAGGCAACAAAAAACTTTGTCCACAAAAAATGCATTAGCATAACCAAACAAAGTTGAGAAAAGAGAAAATAGAAAAGCTCGGAAAATGGAGGAGGGACTTAGTCTAAGACCTGTGACTAACCGCATAACGGGAAATAAATGTTGCATAAAGAACAAACAATTGCTGACTGCAATCAATCAACAGAGTTAAACGTTTCCGAGAACAGCCCAACTTGGTTCTTGGGTGACGAATAAACTGCACAAAACTCAGACCCCAGATCCCAGACCTCCTCTGTCCTCAGTTCCCAGTCGGTACCGGATTCAACCAGGAAGGAAGTACTACGAGCTGCAGGAGCTAAAACCTACAAGGCCTACATGACTACCGTAACTCGCAAGACACGAAACGGGTTGAGCCAACACTGAGCTTTCAAATTAAATTAAATTATAAATAAATATATTAAAAAAACCAAATAAAGTGTTTTATAAACTTCATTCTTTTTGGTGCTGATGTTGTATTAAGTAATAGATGGCCAAATAATAATATAATTTCTTCGTTTCGATAGTAGTAGTGTATGATATTTATTAAATACCAAACAAAAATTTAAAACCTATTCATTTTCGTAGGTCCAGCCTTTTTATTAAGAAACTTGGAAGCTCTTTCATTGCGACAGTTGATATAACTACTTACAGTTACAATGCGTCTGCACTGCTATTTAAATTTGAAAACTTTAAACATTTCTTATTAATATATTTTATACGGAATTCCTGTTTTTAGTTAAGTATTAAGTATTAATATTAATCACTGCCTAATTTTATTATTTTTTATTTTACATAATAACAATTGAACATTTTTTTCCCGTGTAAGAAGTGAGGGCGTGCTCATAAGAAGGCAGGAAAGGCATTCGAAATGAAGAGCATGTATGTGGCCATTGTGGGGAATGGAATGAAATGGAATGAATTGGAGTGGGCCCGAACCGAATCAAGAAGGTCTAGAGAAGGGATCAGGGGCGGCGCAAGGGGGTGCAAATAAGGGGGAGTTGGCTAAAAGAGTGCGGCCTAAGCCGACAAGTCTGACTGCAGGCATTTCAAAGTTGTCGGAATGCAAAGGAGGCGGCTTTGGCATTGAAAGAGCATTTGAATGCGGTCGACAAAAAAAGGGGTTTTGAGAACGGGAATAGGAAGCAAACAAAGCAGGGCGATGAAGGAGAAGAAAGGAATGCCAAGTGTATGAAAACGAAAGATGAATGGAAAAGAGGGCGGCAATCTGGGGATATATGTTCAGCTTTAATCGAGCGTACTGGTGGATGTGGGTGCCCATGGGCTGCAACGATTTCTTTTGAAGAATTATTGACTATAGTCCAACACTAGCCAACAGAAAGTGTTGTTAAAGTCCACCAGCAGCGATAGAAAAAAAAATTTACAAATTCCTTCAGCAGCTTAACAAGAAATTCATGTCTGACAGCCCAGAGATAGAAAGATCACCGGATAAGCTGAGAATGTTTGAATGACAAAGGCAATAGGTAGGCTACACAAGAAAAAAAAAACTATTGTACAGGGCCCGAACTATTGTTAGAAATCTCTCGGAAATCTTTCGACATGTGCTTTGCCTCCAGCTGAAGTGCTTCATTTGAATTTATGCGGCCTGAGTTATTCAAAGCTGGCCACTTGAAAATCAAAGAAAAAAAGCTGGGGAACATAAGAAAACAGAACCGAAGAGTTTAGATTTTGAGGAGCTGATTGCCAGCAAAGGGTGGAATGAAAATAAAGGGTTTCTTAAAGTTCGTATGGAAGTTGGAACCCTACGAGAGGCCCCATAAACAGATCGTTAAACGTTCGGGCAAATTGCTGGCACACGCAAACTGGCACGCCCAAACCGGTTGCGGGGAGGAAGATACATCAAGATGACAACCATGGCGAGGAGAAGCTAATGTTGCAACTTGCAGCGACAACGAATGCCTCACAAAACAATGCACGGCCCTGCCCCACCTCCCTTTCGACCACGCCCCCTAATGGCCTGGCCATAAAAAGCTCATCAACGTCATCTTCTGCATTGTCCCCCTTTCAAAACCCACAAATGTTGCACAATGTGCAACAGCAGCAACAGCTGCAACAGCAGCAACAACAGCATCAGAAATTTGATAAAAATTACACAGCAAAAGGTAAAGAAAGAAAAAGTAAAATATAAGCAAGACACAAAACAATTTTGAAGAGCCAACGATTATTTAAAGTGAAGCCAGGCAACAAATGATAATGGTAACCACCCAGCAACGTCCAACAAATAGCCGTAAGATACGCTCGGCAAAAGTCATGAGGCAAAGGAAAATTTAATAATAGTAGGTACAAGCACACAAATGCCACTTTTCTCTACAAAAACCTTGAACAATCGCTTGGTGTTGCCGCTGTGGCAGTCGATGTTGCATGTTGGTCGCGGCAAATGCTTCCTGCAACAGCAGTGGTTGCATTAGACACATGGAATGTGGTTACTCTATATGACATTTAAG